GTAGACTCCTCCATCTGCATATCCTGCAGGCATCTCTAATTCAGCACATCCCAGACCAAATTAGTGACCCTGCCACACTCTCATTCTCTGTCAGCCTTCCTTCTAGGCTAACACCATTGCCAACCTACCCGGGATAATATCTAGAAATATGGGTCCTTTTTATTTTCCATCCTGTAACCCCAATGCCAACTTGCTGCCAACCTGCATGGATTCACACTGTGGAAGTCTAGTTCGTGTTATGGACCCTGTCCCTTAATTCACACTGTAGTAGTCGGTCTGGTTTCTTCACCCTGAGCTCTGTGATTCCATTGTCCCGGTGAGGGTCTTTCTCTCTCTCCACAAGCCCACAGGTCTGAAGCTCCAGAGATCCTCATTGCACTAGAGCAGAGTAAAGCCTGCCTTGTCCCCAGGGACTGGTAGGGTGGCTACCTGTTCCCCTGGGCCCCATCCCTCTTGCTTGGATGAAAGAGTGGAAGGTTTGAGTCATACGCTTGCTCTTCTGAAAGCACATCAGCAGCTTAACACGGGGATCTACAGAACCCCACATTTCACCCACTGGCTTTCCCCGGGTGTTCATTCCAGCATTCCAGGCTTTGCAGTCAGTCACACTGGGCCACAGGTCATATCCCCAAAACCATGCACAGTTATTTAAAGCTCAGAGCCTTGACTCACGGGGTGCCGCCATGAGCATCCTGCTCCTCTTTCTCTACTCTGCTCGATTAGCCTGGTCGAACTGCCTTCCTCCCACTTTCCTCTTCTCCCTGCTCAGGACGGCCATGCGCACTGCATGCTCCTTTATTTACTTTTCCTGGGGTCATCATGAGCATCTCTAAGTAGTCTTTATAAGCCTTACCACAGACATCGTCTCTGATTGCCTTCTCAGGGTCTCAGGAGGGCTTTGAATGGCCTGTTACCCCACCTAAAAATAACCTCTTAATTTTTTTTTTTACTTTAAAACTTGTGATTTGACCAAAAAGAAAACGAAAAAGGTTTTTAAAAGCTGCCAACGACAGAGTTAACAGTTTTCCCCCACTGTACCCAAACAGAGCAGTCCCTCAACGCTCCAGCATTAAATGCGCTTTGTAAAGTTCCTTGCAGTTTTATTATTCCAGGTGCACTGCTACCATAAGAGGCCTTTGTGGACCTCGGCTATAAATGTCATTTGTTCCCATTAAGCAAATGTATTATATAGAAGATGATTGTCTAAATTTATGGTGACTAGTCTAGAGGGCACTAAATCGGGTAATATATCAAAAGACCTGTTTTAAAAAGTCAATTCCTATAATTCGAAGACTGGTGTTTTCCCCCTCCGCTCAACGTAATCTACGCATGCTATATGACCGTACACTACATCAAAAGAGATGCGGCCGGACTTAACAGCTATCTAAACAGTCCAGGTGAAAAGCACAGCTCTGTTCATTATGTGGGTGTCAGAGGTGAAGTTGGAGGACGTGATTTATTGAGGTTTAATCTTTTACATAACTCCATGCTCTGTTCTTCCTTCCTCGTTCCTCTCAAGAGCAGAGCCTCTCTTCACTGACCAGACTGGCCTTGAGTTGGAGGGTTTAAGTGCTTCTGCCCTCCAAGGAGTTGAGACTACACGCATGCAGCAACCCGACACTCTTTTCCTTCTACGAATTAACAGCAACGCAACAAAATCTTCAAGGCGGAGGTACTGGAAAGATAAACTAACAGAAGTGAGCATGCTTTTATATTAAATGACACTATTACTTAGCCAAAATATAAACCTGAAAAAATAAAGACACTCTCGTTTCAGTGAAGATGCAGCTTACATAGTAGTGACTGAGTTTGAAAATTAGCAATATTGTATCCAGTCATTTGAAGGAGAAGTCCATAGACTTTAATTTATACTTTGCAACACACTTCACCCCAAATCCTTGTATGGTGCCAAAAATAAATAAATAAATAAATAAATGACCCATCTTTAACCCTGATCAAATGGGACATATGAAGGCCTCGCAAAACCTGTTCTGCTTTGGTCCTTAGCTATGAAGACTTGAAACAAGACAAAAGGGTGTGTGTGTGTGTGTGTGTGTGTGTGTGTGTGTGTGTGTGTGTGTATGTGTTTGTGTGTGTGCCTGAAGGATTATCTTTTGTCCTCACCCTACAGGCTGACCCAAGGCTGGCATTTCAGCCCTATCTTCTCTCTGTAGCTGGCTAGTGGGTGAGAACAGCTTGACCGTTGGGGCAACCAAGGTCCCCATGGTCCTTTTGAGGACTAGCTGTGCCCAGTACTAAGCTAGACAGTACTACAGACATCTTGACAAGTAAGACCCTCTAAAGAAACAATGTCATACCCATCAAGATACCTTGATGCCTGGTATGGCGCAGGATACAAAGAAAGAGGCAGACACCAGAAAAACACTCAAATTTCTCTTACAGGAAGGAATGGGCCTCTGCGGTTGGATCTGGGGTCCTTACTGCACAACTTGCTCATAATGATGCCGCCAGAGTCCAAGGCTTCATCACATTTGGAAGCATAAGAAAGCTCAAAGCACAGGGCTTCGAAGGTGTTTCTGCCTTTAAAGCCACGCCCACTGTGGCTGGGTCCTGTAGCTGTGTTCTCAGGTGAGGGCATCCTCATCCAGATATGCGGTTCCTCTTACAGTCGTTGATCTTTAGGTGACCACTTGACTATGCCCTCAAGGGTGCACTTCAGCCCAAACACAATGCTCTACTTCAGGCATCCCTAAAGATGGTGGTGGAATGGCAGAGGATGTTGAGAAACATGTCCTGGGACTGTTGCCTGGATCAGTTCCAATTCTGCAGGCCTCTCCCCATGCCCGTTCCTCCCATTCTCATCCTCCCCCTTGCTAGTCTCCTCACTGATAAAAGTGCTTGTTTTATACAAAAGTGGGCACACATTACAGGACTACATAGTGAGACCTTGTCTTGAAAATAAACACGCACAAACCGCCATGCTCTAGAAAATGTTTATTGACACCTGTATTAATTTTCTTTCCATAATCCAAGAAATAAACACAATACACAAAATACAGTAAAATGCACTTTTCCCATTTCAAATAAATATTCTCTACTTTTGTAAAAAAAATTATATTCTGTATAATTTGCCATGGTGTATTAATTGGTGAAATAAAAGCAAAAATTTCCTCTAGCTAATCTATCACTTAGTTCAGAGTCCCTTGAGCATCTCTCTGCAGATAATGTTGTTTCTCTGTAAAATTACATCGACTTCAAGATCGTTGCTTCTATTTTGCAAACAGAAAACATAAGCTCCTTGACAATGTGTTTATTGTCAAGAAGAATCCTCACTTGGGAGAAAAGAGCATCCAAATTTCTGCTGAATCAACTATGAGTAAATTCCGTAGTTAATCCTTCCTGCAGCCAGAGTTACAATGATTCTTACGTATCACACTGGTAATTTCCAAAATTAGTGGTTAAGGACTTAAATTAACAGTTACAGATGTAATACAGACCCAAGACGGAATTTAAAAGCTCTGATGGTGGGAAAGACAAAAGGTAATGGTGCTATAAAAGACAAATTTGTCATTTTCAAATATTGCCATTCATAACATTATAAGAACTGAAATCTACTGAAATTATACAGACACAGCACAGACTTATATACATATATTTCCCTGATAAGTTTAAGGCAACGTGTTAGCTCTTACAAGTATTATTAATAAGATTATTTTAGTAACCAACAAAAATCATATTTAGGTAGTCGCTAATCTTGAAAGATTTTTATATATAATCGAATCATCCTCAAAGCAATACATCACCAGGTAATACAGGTCATTAGTGTTGTCTAAATTCCTATGTTAGCAGTCAGCGGACAGTTTCCAGGCTAGACAGAGGAAGTTAGCAACCTTCATAGCAGCCCCAGCGCCACCATGAATGGGTCATGTCCATGACTGCATACAGAAATGCTGGCCAAACTGTGCCACCTCAAAACTTCATTGAGCTCAAAAAACAAAAAAGAAAACACACACAGTGCTTATTAAAGCTATCCTCGGGGTTTTCAAGGGCATTGGTTACCGTCTGTGTGTTAACATGTGGAGCCTTTGCTCTAGAATATCACTTTAACCGTGTAAAGGTGGGTTACATTGGTTTATGCTCCATTGCTTAACAATGTAAAGATGCGTTGCTTTGCCTGCCTAAGACACCTGACTGATCTAATAAAAAGCTGAAAAGCAAATAGCTGGGCAGAGGGGGGATAGGCAGGACTGGTGGGCAGAGGGAATAAGCAGAGGAATCCAGCCTTGAGGGGAGGAGAGGCACCGTTACAAACCTGAAAAGATCATCTAGAGCAACG